CTTTGACCCCTAGACCCCAAAATCAATAGGGGTCATCTACTGATCATGACCAATCACCATCTCAAGTTTGAAGTCCCTAGGCCTAAGGGTTCTTTCATTATTGATCGGAAACCGTTTTTACCTACAAGGTCAATGTGACCTTGACCTTTGACCCCTTAACGCCAAAATCAATAGGGGTCATCTGATTGGTCATAACCAATCACCATACCAAGTTTGAAGTTCCTAGGCCTAAGGGTTCTTTTGTTATTGATCAGAAACCGTTTTTAATTAAAAGGTCAATGTGACCTTGACCTTTGACCCCTTGACCCCAAAATCTATACGGGTCATCTACTGATCATGACCAATCACCATACCAAGTTTGAAGTTCCTAGGCCTTAAGGTTCTTTAGTTATTGATCGGAAACCGTTTTTGCTTTCAAGGTCAATGTGACCTTGACCTTTGACCCCTTGACCCCAAAATCAATAGGGGTCATCTACTGATCATGACCAATTACCATACCAAGTTTGAAGTTCCTAGGCCTAAGGGTTCTTTTGTTATTGATCAGAAACCGTTTTTAATTAAAAGGTCAATGTGACCTTGACCTTTGACCCCTTGACCCCAAAATCTATACGGGTCATCTACTGATCATGACCAATCACCATACCAAGTTTGAAGTTCCTAGGCCTTAAGGTTCTTTAGTTATTGATCGGAAACCGTTTTTGCTTTCAAGGTCAATGTGACCTTGACCTTTGACCCCTTGACCCCAAAATCAATAGGGGTCATCTACTGATCATGACCAATCACCATACCAAGTTTGAAGTTCCTAGGCCTTAAGGTTCTTTAGTTATTGATCGGAAACCGTTTTTACCTACAAGGTCAATGTGACCTTGACCTTTGACCCCTTGACCCCAAAATCAATAGGGGTCATCAACTTGTCATGACTAATCACCATACCAAGTTTGAAGTTCCTAGGCCTTAAGGTTCTTTAGTTATTGATCAGAAACTGTTTTTGCTTTCAAGGTCAATGTGACCTTGACCTTTGACCCCTTGACTCCAAAATCAATAGGGGTCATCTACTGGTCATGACCAATCACCATACCAAGTTTGAAGTTCCTAGGCCTTAAGTAACTTTAGTTATTGATCGGAAACCGTTTTTGCTTTCAAGGTCAATGTGACCTTGACCTTTGACCCCTTGACCCCAAAATCAATAGGGGTCATCTACTGGTCATGACCAATCACTATACCAAGTTTGAAGTTCCTAGGCCTTAAGGTTCTTTAGTTATTGATCGGAAACCGTTTTTGCTTTCAAGGTCAATGTGACCTTGACCTTTGACCCCTTGACCCCAAAATCAATAGGGGTCATCTACTGGTCATGACCAATCACCATACCAAGTTTGAAGTTCCTAGGCCTAAGGGTTCTTTAGTTATCACTCGGAAACCATTTGGTCTACGGACCGACGGACCGACGGACTATATGAATTTCCGCTGCACCAGATGTGAAGCATAACACCAGATGTGGCTGTAAAAATAGGTCAATCGCACGGTAAGTGTTCATCTTTTTAAACATATATATAAAATCCAATCCTTTTTTTTAAGAAAACCGAAATGTGATTCTACCCTCCTGACTTTCCTCTATATTACCCATTTTCGTTTTGGATTTCTATGCAGTCTTCATTGAGATATTCTTTCCGTCGTGGGTTCTGGTGTGTCCAAAACATGCAATGTGAATGAAGAAAATGTCACTAACCGGACTAAAAAACAAAGATTTTACAAAATATCACTACAGACCGATGCTTAACATTTAAACAAATCCTGATTTAAACATTTATTGAGATTTGGCTACAAACGAAGGGAATTGCTGCTCAAAATGCATTTGAGCTTCATATGTGCTGAAGAGATCCATAAGTGATGTAGAAAACCATCTACAAAACTACGGACCACTTCCATATAATCATTAAATAGCTTATAGAAACAATTAAGGTTCCTTAGCTTTGGCTGAAAGTTCAGTTGTAACATAAGTGTGTTTGATCACCACTATGACAGGGCTCACTAGCTTATGCTAGCATTAGAAATAGTAAAAGGTCCGAGTATATGAAAATGTTGACGCAGAGCGGATAGTACTCGTATGATAAACAATTCACTTATAAAGGATATGTATCTTGGACAAACAAAACTGAAAGTATTGAACTTTGTAAAGCTATCGTGTCATATAATATGTTTTTATAATAATGCTTACATTCATAAAGATATCTTTCACTTTAAGATTCCACAAGTTATAGCTAAAGCGACAGCCTGTTATGTGGAAATATCATGGCCTGGTGCGGAATCGAAGGTTTTTCTTTACAGGATATGGGTTGATAACATTGTCTGTAAGGAAAACCCGAGATGCCAACCAAGGTCTTGCTTTTTTCTACATAATAGTCGAGTTTGATATATTATAACTGTTTTATCGCATGATAAACAGAAATGAGAATTTTAATAAACATAAAATTTCAATTTATAAAAGGCTTCTCTTCATAAATTAAATTCCTGACTCGGAACCTTGGTTACTTTTTATGTAACGTTTCAATGCCGATATTCCATAAAAGCCAATCAGAAGTATGTTGGTAGTTCCTGATTGGTTGCATGACCAAAGACACAGAAAAACATTGCTGCAAATAATTGGGATGCACCAGTATGACGCTTACCGCCGTTTCATCAGCATTTTTAATGGCACGCCAAAAGATGGATTTTTAAATTTATATCAATAAGTCGATGATTAATGATTATTGTTATTTTCTCGGGGACTTGAAATGGATAATATTGCAAGTAATGCTACTCATAAAAAGATTCATAGAGGTTGTGCCTCCTAGCGCAAAATAACACGAAGAAAGAAAAGGTTTATAAACAAGTACGTTCATGCACCAGACAAAACTTTATACAAATCCATTACCACATTACCTATCCCCAATCTGAATAAATTAATAAATTTGTCTTTTCTGTTTAGGTTTTTTGTTTGTTTAATTTGCAAAATCAAATTAATATTTTAAATGAAAATGGTACCTATTCAAACACGCTTCACATTACTCCCCCATTGAGCAGACAGTGCAATCGAGTGCATAATTAGTTAATTAATAATTGCATGACGGCATATAAAGGGAATGATTGCAGTACACATGACGTCAATAAATCAAAATAAGCAAGGCATTTCCACCATATCTACGTATTTTCAAAACCTTTCGTATTCAGATCGTCTTTTAGCTCTGTCTATATAGATACTATGTTATTCAAGCTCATCTCGTGAAAATGTGTCTGTTTCGGACAATAGTTTTTATTACAGAATGATACACAAACGAATAAATTATAGATTGCTTTTTGAAAGTGATGCGTAATTTCGTTGCTAATTGTTTTATATTATGCACATATGGATCTCTTCACCACATATGGAGCAGCGATTCCCTTCGTTTGTAGCCAAATCTCAATAAATGTTTATATCAGAATTTGTCTGAATGTTAAGCATCGGTCTGTAGTGAGATTTCGTAAAATCTCTGTTTCGTGAGTCCGTTTAGTGACATTTTCTTCATTCACATTGCATGTTTTGGACACACTTGAACCCACGACGGAAAGAATATCTCGATGAAGACTGCATAGAAATCAAAAACAAGAATGGGTAATATAGAGGAAAGTCAGGAGGGTAAAATCACATTTCGATTTTCTTTAAAAAAGCATTGAATTTTATATAAATGTTTAAAAAGATGAACACTTACCCTGCGATTGACCTGTTTTTACAGTCACATCTGGTGTTATGCTTCACATCTGGTGCAGCGGAAATTCATATATAATTGTTTCCGATGCTCATTTTTGAGATACATATGGGGTTCCATCCCCGTGACATTGAGATTCGCTTGTACATCTTAGTTTTAATTAGTGTTGTACTGCAAAATCCTACCGTCTGTTGAAGCCTTTATGACATTGTTTGTTGGTTGAAAAAGAAATTTGAATCCGGCCTCAGTTTGTCGAAAATGCACCAACAAGCATGCGACGGCAATAGAAAACGTCGCAAAAGTAAAATAAATCATTGAGAAAGATCCTAGATATACGATACATGATATAGCTGTATAGTGGTAGGTATAAACCTATCTAGTGAACAATTTCTTTAAAAGAAAACAATGATTTGTTAACAGATCATCAAAAGAAGCAACGGGTTAATATTGCTAAAATACATCTACACATATTTTCAGAATACAGCCAATCCAAATAAGCCAATGTAGTACTAGTAACTGGAGATGAAACCTGGATTCTCTGTTTTGAGTCAGTATGAAAAGAAAGTTATATGAAAGTAATAATATATAGGACATAAGAAACTGCAAACGACACATTATTGCAAAAAGCACGTTAAGCACCAAGACAGTTTTGTACGCAATTTTCTTCTTAATTAAAGGCATTGCAATTCGAGTCCCAGTCAAAAGGTGTAAAATGACAACAGGAAAGTACTACAGAGACGTCGTGTTAAAGAAACTGAAAATCTACTACCAAAAACCGACATCAGGCCACAGGGCTGAAACACGTTCGTCTGCTTCATGATAACGGCCGGGCCAAAACCTCACAAGAAAAAGTCAATGTTTTCCCTAAAATCCCATATTCTCCAGAGTTTGCTCCCTGAAACTTTATTCTCCTTTCAAAAAACTGAAAAATTACATTGCTAGTCGAAAATATCATTCAAGACAGGACATTGGGTTCTGCTGTTTTCTAGCACCTTAACACTATACCAAAATAAGGGAATCGTGAGACTTTTCGAAAATTGATTATCGTCTTAAATTATGCATTTCAAGTCATGGGAATGCTTTGAATGTATAAAGATAATTACGAGTAAGTAATACGAAAATAATGCCTTTCTTTTCGAACAGCCCTCGTATATATCACAAAAAGCAAACATTATAAATAATTTTATTCTTATTATTTTTCTCTATTAAATGTTGATTAAACGTCTTGTAAAAGACATTAATTATTTAAAAAAAACGTTCTTTTTAAATATTCAGATTTGTATTATAATGTCTACGACCGGGACAGAAAAACATTGCAGACTGTGTCTAATGCTAAACAAAGGAGGAACAAAGGCATGCTATCATCTCCTATTAAAACGTGTTGAAGAACTTGGTCCAGTCGATCAACAACCATACCCATGGACGGTCCAACAGTTTTTGGAAAGTAAACAGGATGCAATAAAAAATTCGAAACTTTCAAAGGACAAGTTCAATGTTCTTTTTCCAAGACACGGTGCCACTGAACTTACAAAATGGGATTTATCCCTTTTTTGCAAAATTCTAACATTATACTGCGACTTAAAACGTGTAATCCGACTAGATATAGAACAATTGTTAACACTACGGAACACTCTCTGTCACATGAATGAACCAAGCGTTACTGACGTACAGTTTAAGGATTACTTAGAAACTATACAAGTGACCGTGAGTCGAATCATGCAGGATATAAACAACCAAATGGTGAAGTCTGAAATAGATAAGGACATGGATCAACTAGAAAATGGACCTCTGGATCTCAACGAAACGCTAAGGGAAATGCGGACATTCTATTTAATGGAGTTTGATTTAAACAAAAAGTTGGAACATGTAATAGACGGTACGTTTTGGTAGATAGTTTTCATGATGTTTAAGAATTAAGTTAAATAATACGATCGCTTAGTTTTAAAGTTTTCGATATATAGCGATCTTATTGCTCGCTTAACTTTTTCTTGAAACTCAATGTGTCTAACTATATCATGTTTTAAATAAAATTTGCGATTGCCAATCGCTTATTATTTTTCTTTTACAGTAAATGAAACTGTTTTGAAAAAAATCGAAAAGCTTGACGACAGACTGGAACTCATTTATAGCAGGCCTGACTTGAAAGATAGCTCAACACTAGTTGCAGCGAGAAACAATTTCTTACTTCCCGGTAAGATAATTTTTTATCGTGATAAGGTTACATTAATATTATCGATATTCACACAATTTAAACTTAATCGTGATTCGAAAAGCGTTTTCTTGTTCGTTGTTTTATCCTTTGAAGTAGATGTTCATTTGCAGCATCACATCTTTCTACTGACATCACTTTTTCCCTTGATGTTTGTTGCTTTATTACAGTTCATAATATATATAGTTCATTAAAAGTAAAGAATAAACGGAATCCCCAAATAATGCTCAAAGCGGCAAAATTAAAAATGTTGCAGGACCTGAGTATATTTTATCTTCAATTCTCTTCGAATGTTGTATGAAATAAGTGTTCTTACGCTATTTACTAGTTTTAAAATGATAGTCAGTGTCGATGTTTATTTGTTCGCTTGGTTATATAATTATTTAAGTTATCAAATTGTCTATTAAGAATCATCAAATAATCCAACATGTAGTTCCTTTTCTGGAATAAAAATTTCTTGATAATACATCAACATTACTATGGAATCATAAACTATGATAACTTAAAACTTGTACAAGTCATTGTGATAAAAGATAAAGATAATATATTATATCAATTCAAAACAGACAACCCAAATATAAAGCATAAATTTTGATTGTTTCAATACGATTTATACGCTGGAAAAATATTGTCGTAATCTGTTATGCACCTGTCAGCCCGTCTATTTATCTGTAAGCAATTTCGTGACCGTTCTGTATCTTTTGAACCGATGGAAGAACATTATAATTAATAACAACTTGGCAGAAATGTTAACCAGAATGAGACGGTGTGCGGAGGGCAAGTTTAAGCTGGTCACTCAGTATATTTAAATTTCCAAATTCCGTATTCGGGCTGTATTAATTGAACTAATAGAAGGAAATATTACTTTTAATGATATGATGTGCAAAACGCTGGTTTGGGCTTTCTAAAATTAAAATTGGCCCGCCCCGGGGGTTACTTGATTTATATAGACATTATTCACTATTTGGACAAGGAATTAAACTTATAATGTGAGAGTATTATGTCCACTGCTTAAAATCTAGGCATAAAGTATTGGCTTGTTGACCTTCACGTAAATTATATAAATCATGTCCTGGGGTCAATATTTGGCCATCCCCGGTTTTGTATAGTAAGAAGACATTTAACTCTTATAGTACGAAACTACTATACAATTAGCTCAGATTTTCGGCATGTAGCATTGGCCTGTGGACCCCTACAAAATTTAAATACATCATGTCCTTTGGTTAATATTAGCTTCTCTTTTAGGATAACCTTATTTATGAAGACCTATATAGGAAATTACATTTATCTTATTCTTAAAACTACAATGCCAAGAGCTTAGCTATTTGGCATAAAATGAAGCCTTTTAGATTTCTTCTAAATGGACAATCAAGCCCATTTGGTCAATATTGTAACTTTACACGTGACAGTTATTGACTTTTCGTGGTAAATTTCAACCACCGTTTATACAATCAGCTACTTTTGATCAATTAGTTTTTGTAGACTTACATAATAAAAAAATCTTGAACTTTATCACCCCTAAACTACAAACACCCACTACTTGGATATTTTCTTTGATATTTGTATTAATTCGTAGTTTTCTAAAACGTTATATTAACCATGACCCTGATGTCAAAACTGGCCTTCCAATGGGATTACGGATAAAAAATGTTCAAACTGAGATTTGATTTGGATTTATAAGGATGAATTAGATAAAGATTTTTTCTGTCAAGCTTCTCAGATAAATTTTCATTCGAACCAATATTGCCTGCGTCATTGCGGTGCTCCTGTTATACTTTAGTTTTCATTTTGCAGGATCGGATATTTTTCTGGATCTCATTAATGTAAGTGAAGACGAAGAAACCAAAATGTCCATCGTCTTAGAACAGTTGTTTGAGGAGGAGATCAATAAAGACAATGATTTTAGATGTAGCATTCCTGCTGAATCATATGTCAGCCTGAGGGAAGCAGTCAAAAGAACATTTCAACTATTCCTTTCGAAAGGCTGGAGAATCACACATACTAAACATGCATGCATACAACTTCATATTAGATGCACCAATTTCAGATCGCTTGCTGCCTTGTTTAGAGAACAAATACATGGACATTTAGATCACCAGCTTACATATCTAAACGAGGCATTAAACGACTGCTTCAATGGGAGAGATTTGCGCTTAGAAACTACCATTTATAAAGACGAGTTCTGGAATGTTATAGATAAATCAAGTAAGACAGTTGTTTTAATATCATCATGTGAATTAAATTTTGGTCTTCTTGCTTGGGTAAATGATGAACTAATATTACTTAAAGCACGTTTACCTTAACATTAAAGTCTGACTTAAATGATATTGGTAAAGCAATTAATCTTTAATCCTTTAGCTTGATAGCAAAATTGGATAAACAACTCTTTTATGTCCAATGTACAGTAAGAAAGAGTACATCATCTCGCTTTTAATAGTTGACTTAATATTAAATACAGCATACATAACAAGTAATAAAGAACTACATGAAAATATTGAAGGAAGTATTGTTTTGCATTGACATCAATAAATTATGTGCAAAAGTTGCTGTCATTTCTGTAATTTTAGTTTCCTGTGTCGAAAAGTTTTTAACAATGCACAATATCGACTGTGTTAACACAAATGATAACGAAGACAGTATCCCCGATGATAGCAGACATACTCTTTCACTATCAGCAGAAAAAGTGAGACCCGAAAGTAGCGAATCACCCGGAGCAATAGGCAACAATGACCTTGAAACTTGCCTACAGATACTTAAAACAGGACTGAAGTCAGAATTCTATGCACCGCATTTATCTATCATAGCAAATTGCTCGTCGATTGTTGATCATGAATCTTACAGTAGGTATTTTATTGAACATTATAATGTGCTATTAATGAATGATTCTTATGCGTTTGCCAATATAATGAGAATGTTATCATTGCGAAATATACGTTTTGCCGAATGTGTGCTTTTTGAATTGATCCAATTGATTAAATATTATAAATTTTGATGCTCTTATAAATAGATCTGTGCAGCGACAACAAAGTGGAAATACCAGGAGAAGAAGAAAATATGCAAACAATAAGGATAAGTGAACATCAGAGTTCGAAAGTAAATAAAGAAGAAAAAGAAAGTACTAAAATTTTGAAAGATGAAAAAGGCGAATATGTCGAGAGAATCATTAAAGGATTGAGTTTGAAAGAGATAGAGCCAACAACTGGGACACGTGTGAAACAAAAAGAACACAGTGGTGAAGAGAAAGAAATTACGAGTCAGGCAAAAATGGATGTTTCACCAGCAATACCCATGGCGACTTCAGCAACGGATGCGATAGAAGCTTCTGTAAGTAGGAAATCTAAAATTAAGTTTCAAATATGAAAATGTCATTTCAATTGAAAACATCTGCATTACATTACATTATATCCATATGTAGTATATCATTTTAGAAAACGTTATTTCTATTATCTGATATGTATTATGTTTGCTTAATCAAAACAATCATTCAGAAACAAATCATTTTGTCATTGTGATTCAACTCCTATTTAACTAAGCCAAATACTGACTTTTTACAAATATCATTAAATTTATTAGAATGATATTTTATTAAAAAACATTGTTGGCTACATTTTTATACTTTTTTTTGTTAATTCTGTAAAAATTTCTATTACTTACGAAAAATACTTGATTATTTTAATATCGATATCTCTTTACCAATATTTTTTGTAAAATAAATCAGGTCGAAACGGAAGGAGACTTACACAAGAATGCTTTACAGGCAATCGTGAATTCGATGAATGCTTTATCAGTTTACCTTGAACTGGCCACTCTTACGATGATTGAAAGGGATCGGCCATTATTGGTAACATTACTTGAACATTTTCTTACCACTTATTTGATTAAATATTTACCGTTTTTGAACGTAAATTTATGAACAATATTTGATTTCAATTTAATTCGATCGAATTTTAGAGAAATCAACAAGTAGTGTTCGAAAACAATCACTTGCATATTTCGTATAAAATAGGATGTTTTAAATTAAAGTTATCACTAATTTTGCCATTCCCTCGAAATACTCCATTTCCTAAAAATGTTCGTTGCTTGATCCTGTTCCGGGAAAGTTTCCATTCTGTTAACAAACTGAAAAATGGTAGATCTCAGCGTCAGACTTGTAAAGTATCTACTACCCACGAAGATTTTTTAATTTCTGAAAGTATTTTAGTTTAAAAAGGGCAAAGTTACGAGCTCGGACATTATCGTGATGATGTCGTTCATATTTTAATCTGGTAAATCGGCACCTGTTTTACTAGTGGTATTCAGTGCTATATCCTTATATTTGTTCCATGTACACGTTTTTCTTTCTTTTTCCACTGGTATCTTCATTTGCTAAGGGAAGAAAATTTCATCATAAATCAATTTCCACTCAACAAGCGTTTAGCAATTGCTAGCTTGTAGCCCTATCTTAAATAATTAAATTTCGTTTTTCGTCTGCTAACTGTGTTATGAAAACAAAAGAGGTATTGTAAGTATCAGATTCTTCAGGAAATATTTCCTTAGAACAAGCTTTTAAATAAGCCAATATTTCTTTTCTCTTATCACATGTATCAATGTTTTAGCCAATTTTACTGCGGTACTTCAAGAATGCGAATTCGATTACAAAATCGTTATTGTTCACTATATAAAGCTACATGTTAACACCCCAATTACACAGAGCCATCGGTGATTGATCGGTAGTTTTTTAGCTAAATTATGGAGTGAACTGATGACAACGTATTTAACACTGATTTCACCTATTGGTTACCTGTTTTCCACCTATCAACTGCTATTGGGGAATGATAAGTTTTATCGGTGAAATATTACCGATTAGGATTTTTAAACATGTTTAAAATTCTCGATCGGTAAAAATATTTTACAAATAACCGACAACAACCTATATCACGAGATATGTAAAATAACATCGAGTAAATTTAAAATTAAACGACCGATTGGGGACCGACCGTCTGTGTAACCGGCCCTTAACATCATTATGTACCGACCGTCTGTGTAACTGGCTCTTAACATCATTATGTAAGTTTTGAGCAGCTCTATACAGTTTTGCATTGATATGTTGCCATTTTCTCGAGGATTTTGAGCATCAGACCTGTAAGCAATTCTTTTTGATCACTCCTTGTAGTAAGCTAAGCATTTTACTATTTTAGCAGATTATTAAATGGTGGATAATGATTTACTCCTAATCATCGCTAAAAGTAAGAAAATTAATATATGACATCGATGGCATTTAGTCTGTATACATCAATGTATTGAAAGCTATACTGATTTTGTTCTATTGTCAAAGTAACACGGTCAGATTTGAATTAATGTTCGTTGTAGTTTCACAGTTAATATGCCTACTATTGAAAGACTATCTGACATTATTCATGACAATTGCTTAATCGCAATTAATTTTTCATCAACAAATTACATATACATGTGTATATTTCTTTCACATGTCTTTGATTTTCGAACACTAAAGTAATTCTTTTGTATGATAAAAACACATAACATACTAAATTTGGTTATGTGCTACATATTTAATGACGTGTAAACGACTCAGTTCATCCAATCGCTTTGTTCTATTAATATAGAAAACATAACATGCTAATGATATTAAAAATTGCATGATAATGATTAAATGAAATAATGTAAAACAAAAACAACTATATGAATAACATGATATGAACAAATAATATTTCATTTAGGATAACACATTTGGGGTAATATCAGGAGTACGAAGCCATGTTGGTGCCATTTTTTGCACAATTGAAGACTTTGCATTTTACATGGAAGATAGTTTGCATGATTTGGCGTTACACAGAATAGAAAGAGTACGTTTTATCTTATTGTTGTCTTCTACTTTACATAATAATCACTTCTTAATTTAAATAAAGCACAGAATAGTCTAATGTTAGTTATATGTAAGAAATTGTGTTTTTCATTTGCAAGAGAATACATACTAGGTATAATAATATTTTTGTTCAACTGGATAGATATTCTTTTTAGCATTGACAAGGTCAGTGAAAGAAATTCGATTGTGCAAGTTGTAACATCCCAAAACAAACACTGTTGTAATTTGTGCTTGTATGACACATATGACAAATAACATGTGAATATTTATTCAATTTAAAAACGCTACTCACGGCTATCTCAAATTCCTGTCCACAAATAATATCTTCGAAACATTTAAGTTCAGTTTGGATGTGCAATGATGAGCCATTATCAGCAAATACACACAATGATTACAATATTATGGCAAATTGCTGATTTGATTTCGTTATAAAATGGAATGCGATGATTAGCAACATCATATATTTTTACCTTTCAATTAAATAAAAGAGTTTTACAAGTTTCATGGCCTATTCAAATTTTAATCATATGTAAATTCTATCAATTTGATAATCAGTATATTGACTTTTCTACACATAAAAATAGATAATCACAAACACTTTCAAAAGATTATTTGATGCAGAATATCAAATCGTCATAATCAGTTTTGACGTCAATCATTCCATAATAGCCTGGCACAGAACAGTGATGTAATTAATTTAAAAGCCTGGTAGGTTTTGTCTATGCATGTATGTTAATTGAGTCACTTTGTACACTTGAAATAAATTAAACCTCTGCTTTGTGTTTTTATAAATCATTCTTATAAAATCATTATAAAATCTTAATCATGTATATTGTTTTCTAGCTGACTACTGGATTTCCTGGGTGAAAATGTCCTTCCCTGCTTAATATTAATCTACATTTTTCATTTACATATGGGCTTAATTAAGATTAAACTCGGACAAGATCTTCCACAATCAGGGTAAACATATGCACTGTCACTGTTCGTCTAACGGACCTTTCGTTTTTTGGGCATGTCACACACTTCACAGTCTTCAGTATGAAGCTGTGTCTAGAGCTTCACACACATGCACACCAAAACTATTTTACTAAAAAGAAAACACATGTCGTTTTTTAATTGTCTTCTAAATTTCACTGTATCATAACATGGAATTAAAACTGTCCTTCCTTATACAGTGTATATCCATTTTCGAATGCTACGACCATACGCATAATTTAAGTATGATATAATTAACTGTTCACTAAAGGAAACTTCTTTTCATCATACCAGTAACAAATTGAACAGATATCAATTGATCAGTCAATCATGAAAATGCATCGTAAGGAACCAAAATGTTTGCGTACAGTTAGTTTATCGGAAATATTATAGATATATGCGAAATAGATAGTCAAAAGATTTTATAATCATGAAAACGCATCGTAAGGAACCAAAATGTTTGCGTACAGTTAGTTTATCGGAAATATTATAGATATATGCGAAATAGATAGTTAAAAGTTTTCGTGTATTTTGTTTTGCAATTTATAGTAAACATGTTGTTGCTATAATGACTAGTCAAATATCTGTTACATAAAGTATGTTATTGTTTTCTTTTTATAGGTATGTCAGATTACCGGTGTTATTGGAAGTAGCAAATACCTCAATATTGAACTTTCTCCTTCCCATGAAATAGTTTCTTTTATTTTGACCATCATAAAAATTATACAAATATATCTTTATAATAATTTTGGGCACAAATATGTAAACCAAAAGATTCCTCATTATAAATATAAATAACATTCAACGATTTATACAGTCAAGAAAGTACAACAATCGATTTATAGCTGCGGTACCTTTTAAGTACACCTTTCGTTGACCTTGGAATTGGAAATACAAAATCAGTTACGGGTAAAAACTCTTTACAGCAGAGTGCCTCCAGATCCATGTTAATTTTTATGAAAATTTTGAAAATGTAATTAAAATCAAAATGTTGTAAAAAGAACAAAGAATGTAATTTAGACATTGTTTACGAACTTACAATCCACGTAGAAAATATGCAAGAATAGCAATAACTGTTATAGCTACGCAGTAGAAATATCGTAATGTATAATACAAAATCACTCATTAATCGCACTTACCATGTTAATGTTTGCTGAATTTCAGAATGAGTTTACTTTCTTAACAGCTAAGTAAATTTTCCAAAGTTTGGTGCTCTTTAAATATTTTGCCTCATCTGGAGGCATGCAGCTTTAAGGTCAGATATGAAAAGATGGCTTTTCTGCTATCATAAACAAAGTTTACAGATGCTTTTTGTGGCGTGTTATACCGAAAAGGCTGTTTTACATTAAAAATATTGATAAAAATATTTTCAAGCATACTCTTAGAGAACCATATTTCCAAGTGAAGTATTTTAGTCCGGCTTTGTACTCAAAGAGGTCTTTCAAATTTTAATTGAGAATATTCAGTTCACGAGGTCGGTATATATTTGCATAAATACTTTTTTATCTAACGCCTTTATCATGTTACTTCGTTATCAATATGCTTAGAGTTTTTTCCAACATTTGACCTTTGCTTCTTTTGTGTTTAACAAAAAAAAATACAACAACAACAATTATACCCATCGTATTCCTATGTGACTGCAAACAAAATGTCAAAGAAATATTGCCAGGAGTGAGATGTTACTCTTGTTCAAAATTGAACCCTTCTTTCGATAGAAAATGTCATGCTATTTTGTAAATGTTGACATGCACATGTGGATGTTGTATTGTCTTAACTGTTACCATATTGTAGTAAAAAGATAAATTAAACGCAAACTTTATATCTATATGTGGACATATTTTTATCATCTAGTCTATCAAATTGTTAATTTCATGCATTTCATAAACATTTAAAATAACGATGTATAGTGATTGCATAAAAATAACAGCACTGTATACATTTTATACATATTTCTGTATATTGCACAGGAACTTAATGAAATTTATACAATAGAATTTGGAATAATGGAAAAAGAAATAGAGCAAACGTAAGTACCAATGAATTAAATGAAATGTTTGTTATTTTGTTGAAACACAAACTAACATACACACAATTATAAGTTATCGATATAAAGGAAAAGTTTATTTTATATACATAAATGATAATGTTCTGTAAAAACAAGAAGAATAAATATATATTATATTTGATATACTTCATACATCCAGTTAATGACTCATTATAAGGCTTATTTTTTCGGGGATCTGGGGTTGGGAGAATGTTCAAGGCGTTTACGTCACACTAACACAGTAGAAGTCATATTGCAATTGTCCAGCTTTACTGGTGGAGGAAGATTTTAGTTGCCCTTTTTGCATTACATCAAGATACGAGTGGAGTAGAACCACCGACATTCCGTAAGCTAGCTGGATAGCTTCCTCACAGCCATAAGCTAGCTGGATAGGTTACTCACAGGAAAAAATCCAAAGTCCATAGCAGGATTTGAATCTAGAGCGTTGAGGGGCAAATGATTTCAAGTCAACGACAAAAACCAGTCGTCCACTAACGTCCCTGTTTTTTATTATTTTGTTTTGAAGGAACACTTTATTTAGCAAGTAAAATATATTCTTATAAAACAATGACATGTTATAAATGCCCTGTCTCACATTTCTAGTATGATTTCAATCAAACATGAATTTATAAGTTGGTTATTGCTGCCAAATATCGGTTTACCGATACATTAAAAGAAACGCGATTTATTAACAAACTGTCATTGATTATGAGATCATTTTACACTCAAAATTGATTAGGTATTAAAGCATGCAAGTAATTGTAGTCTATTTACTGATCACAAATAGCATATTCCAACAATTCATGTTTGTAAGATGTTATTGGTGCACTTTAATATGCACATAGAATTTTAGTAAATGATGGTACAATACACATTTTAAAAGTTCAGTTTTTGCACATTCTGCTTTGAATTTAATGTTATGGATGCATAAATGTATTTTATAAATTATAAATACATAACATATAATTCTTGCTTATTTTGTCTCAACTTTAGGCTAATTTGCCATGTTTGTTCTTTTGAATTTTTCTAGTTAATATTATATTACCCATGAGGGTAAATATAAATATATACAAATAATATTCTGTTATAGCGGTAGAAATTTTCAGAAATCATTTGTAATACATGATTTATCGAGAAAAAGTTATTGCCCGATTAAGTCATGTACATGACTTTTTCAAATTATACAGAATTATATGTAAATTAAATGCGCTTACTGCCTTTGTATATAGAAATAATTGTCATAACATGTCTAATGAATTTACTTGAGAACTAATGATGGAAACGCACAATACTGTTTGAATATAGAGAAATATTGTTGTTGAACAATTGATATTATTTCTTTTCAGTGCCGCTCGTTTAAATGACAGAGTTCAGAAAGTTCTTGAAACACTTTTAGGGTTAAAAGTTCCGGTGGAGCAGATGAAGAATCAGTCAAAGACTGCTTATGATCATTTGCATCATTTACAACAGCTCTGTAAAGATGAAGAACGTTTATTGAAAGAATGGCAACGCGATTTTAAAGCCAGTGTTCCTTTGTGTCAAGAGGAGTTAAAGCAAAGTGAAGAAGCTGAAGATGCGGATATAAAGGGTGACAAAATAAAGTTTTCAGGAGCACACCTGACTGGTGACAAAAAGAGAAGGCACGCAAAGGATATGACTTTGAAAGAGTATTATGGTATGTATTAAATTGTAGTACAATTTTACATATACATCGAATTTAACAAAACATGTTTTAAGAAAAAGAATGAACTTTAATAATAATAAATGTAATAGTTATAAAATATTCCAAATGTTGGTATATTATGCTTCTATACTTCTATACTGTCTATTCAGTCGGTTGGTTTGTTTAAAATTTGTATGATATTAGAATAAATACAGCTTATATGGTATATCTATACTACAGCCCTGGATAAATAAAATATTGTATAACGATACAGTGTTTAAATAGTCAGTGCGAACATTATTCTATCCATTGTATTGGAAAGCGCATTAGTTGGACATCGCCGTTCTCTCTCTCGTGCTCGTCTGTCCAACTTAAGAACGGTTTTAATTATTGGGTCAGTTATAGGATGAGATTGTAACTGCAGAAACCCTGTACCTTGACTATAAGGTAACACAACTACAATGTCAAATAAAGAACTGCCAATAAAATCGGTACTTGAGTCGTCCCGGTCAAACTCAACTGATGTATTTAACTGATTTTAAACATACTAGCGCTAATGTGTTGACGGTAATAATGTCGTACACAAGAATATGTCTCTACCCTTAAATAACTACAAAGTTACTTTTTGATCTATAAGTCATGATATGAAATTCATAAATAGATCATTGATAGCCGGTCGTCAAATGTTGATGGACTTGAGAAATAAAATAAATAAATAAATAACAATCGCAGCGTATTGTAGATACATGGTCCTTTGAATAAAAACCAATGTCACACTGTAACTCAAAATTTACAAATGAATTACAAGAATTTAATTGTGCATGCTTTGAAGTCATTGTGGCTAAATAACAATTTTGTTTCACACTCTCTCACAAGACTCGGCTTTAAAACACTTAACATAATCATGCTATTTAATAACACTTAGTCTCTTATATCACATCTCCTATTACGACATCATTTTTTGAAAGCTTGAACGCGATAAAAGTACAAGATGAGTCCCGTCTTATCTAGATTCAAGGTCTCATATTATTGATTTGCATTATAATTCATTGACTGGTGTATGGATCCGGCCTAATTTGCATTGTGATGGGTTTAAGGACTTCTATACGTCGACTAGTATTGGCATATTTTTTACTCGTTATGTTAATCGAATTATTAATACATCATGGGTGTCCGCATAAAATTCAGTGCAAGGATAGGCTACAATCCACATGAGAACTGCATTACATGAAAAACAATAGAAATTATTGAATAAGTTGCGAGATAACCTGTCTATTCCCAGGATAGCGAGGGAATCCAGTATCAATACATGAAATTCGGAGAGTGATCTTTACATTATATTTATTCAAAAGAATGTTCACCGTGAATCAGAAAGAGTATTGACAGTTGATACAATCTATTGATCTCAATCGAGCTATACAAACTGGTTAATAATCTTGAAACTCTCTGAATTGGATCAGAGTGTGTGAGAAACTATTAACGAGTACACATTTGGTATAGTGCTAGCCTGTATTTAGTGTAATATAGTATCACCTAATTGTTATTATTAATTAACAATCCAATGTCAGCGATTGGTATACTACGACATGTGTTTGCATCTCCTATCCTGTATCTGTATTGGCATAGGTTGTCACGGATAATATACAATAATAGGCATTCGATCAATTTACATGAAATCCAGGTCAAGAGGAATTACAATTCTAGCTTAAAAAAAAAGTTAGTGAATATTCTGCTCGTGGTGGTGATTTAATTTCACCTTGATTACCGAGCCTTCCCTTCTGTTCATCCTAGATCTAACTGTATCATATGTAAAGGGATCAAAAACTCTTGCTCACAGGGTTACCAAAAAAATAAATTGATACAAAATCATGTGAGGAAACTAGTCTACATCACTATGACCGGGTATTATGTATTCTTCATAATACTGAAAAAAGCTCACGGATGGAGGTTAAACAAGCAATAAGTCTGATATTTGAGTTGAGAAAAAAATATATCATATCTTGAATTTCTATAATTCTTTAAAGATTAAACCATAATTCATTTAACGTGTGAGTTGTTGACCTAACTAGTCGTGAGGTTGATGCTCATTTTGGTAAGGTATATTGTGTGTGTAAGAATTTGAGTTGTACCCGACCTCACTGAAGATACTGTATTATTTAGAAACCGTTTAAAAATACGAGGCGCTTCGTTGATACTTTGAAATAAATTCATACATTGTGCGAATTATTTTGATGATGTTATTCAATTCTAGATACATTTTAATTCAATAACATCATAATAATATATACAGATATATATATGCATAATTCACTGATTCTAAATATGATATATATTGTTACACTCCACCTCACACACCACTGTTTTTATATTTATTTATTATGTTTATTGCGTTACACGTATGGTCTCACTCCTATATCACTATATCATATCTCTAAATTAGCTGGAGCAAGTTTAGAAAGACCTTTGTCATATGTATGCAGGCAAGTTGACAATAAAAAGTGATGGAATACAGGTGAAGTTGGATTTGAAACACATTGTATGATGTCATGGGGGAGGCAATGGGTGGAAATTCATTTCTAAAGATTTATCACCGGAAATTTGCTATTGAATATAAGAATTGAGTTAAAGACCTGGGAAAAGAGAAACTTGTTGCTGGGTCTTGAGCGTGTTTAACAGAAGCAAATTAAAGTGTCCGTTATGGGGAGGAGCCTTGCCGGGGAATGATATGCTATGTATGATATGGTTTGGGGTTGTTATGGTTAATTGGACAGAGAAAACACGCAAGCCGGACAGAAATGCTGCCGACAGGTCCGGCATGCTAGTGTTGAAAGAACTGACCGATAATTGATGAAACATGAAAACACAGATTAACAGAATTCGCACATAATTTATGGGTGGTCCACATTTTGAGTGTGTGGGCCTTGGAGTTGATTGACAGTGGGACCTGTATATATGAAGTAACGAGTATAAAAAATGAGGTGGAATGCTTACCGAATCTGATTGGTTAACATTATAAAGAATGCGTTGAAACATATGAAGAAAATAAAGTAATGTTTTGAACTGTCAAGCATTAAAGGCCAGTGACCGCAATTAGGTGTCCAAGAAATTCTTGTCGTTATGAGGCAAACAATTAAGGCACAGAGAAGACATTTGTGTGTAGAGTTGAATTTTGGTCATTTGGAACCGGACGAGCATTCGATTTGACATCGTCGACCCTCATGTTTACAAGACCCTTGACTTGTTCGATCCGCTGGCAGATGAGGTCGACGCAGACAAGACCCCGTGAAGCAACGGGAAGCCCTGAAATGAAGGAAAGTGCGACCTTGATCTAAAAAGAAACGAAGACGTTTTACGAGGTACTTTCGAAAGAAAACTTGATGAATTAAAGACGGATGAATTGTACTCAGGCGTGAAAAGGGTGATTTGATCCATAAATTGATTTATTAGAGAATGAATGATATTGATAATTAAATAGATTAACAATAAACCGCTGATAACGAACCATTGGGACTTCAAGAAAGGGTTCTATTACCGAGTCGGGTTTAAGCCAGTTAGAGTTTACGAAGCTTAGCCTTGTTGGTCGAGGAATTTGAAAGGGAACATATTGATCAGTAATATTAACTGACTTAGCCATCGTCCGCCAGGGTTAAGAGCATTTGGGTCATAAAAAAAGAGGAATCTTTATTTTATTATATGAAGATACCATTCGCAGAGAAGGACTTTTGGAGAGGAAAAGCTTGGGCATTCAGGTTGGGTATCACCGGAAGCTCATTCGCAAGTTGAAGGAATCCGTGTCTAATAAGGGCTGTGGGGGTCCCGTTGATTACAATTTAACGAGAATTGCGTATTTGTGCTGCTGGTATATTTCAGATCTTCGAATATATCGTTAAGGGCTGTACGAATTGAAGAATGTATTAGATTCTTGGTAGGTCAAATGATTTTATTTGCAAGCTAGCATGATATATTTGAAAACAAAGAAAAGGATCATTAATTTATGTACTTCGAGCAAACTTATTTTAAAGAAAAGAAAGAAAGCAGAATAAAAGGAAGTAACCCTATCGGTGAAAGTAACTCATGCTAAACATATCCTAAGAATAAACGATTACAACTGCAAACACGAATTCATGGGTCACAGATTGTGTTGTGAAGTGACAGGCACCACTTGAACGATTACATTTCCGCGATTCGGTTGCCAATGGAAAACTTAAGTTGAAAATTTGCGGAATTATATTGTACGAAGAGCCGATTGGGGCGTGCGTTAAAACAGGGAATTTGTCGTTACTTGTGAACTAAATTTTGGGCTTAAGAAATGAGGCCCGATTTAAGCGACAACCTAAATTAATTAACAGGTTCGCTATAAATAACCGAGTGTTGGTATTAAGGGAAATAAACGAAGGGCAAATATGGCCAAAACAAGATGTTGTTGTCTATAACCGAAGGTTTCGCTTATTAACAGTGGTGGTGATATATTGGAGGGTGAGTGTTACTGAATTATATGAAATTCATATGGGAGCCGTGATTGTGTGATTCGAATTCATTATTCAAATCAAGGTATTTATTTACAGGAAGAAACACATTGAAGACCAGAAAAGTACGGCGGATTATGTTATAGGTTACAGACACTGATTAAAACAGTGAATTAAAATGATATCAGTTTAAACGGTTAGCTGTGAAAAAAAGATGCGGGTGTTGCTGTAAACAAAGATTGTTAGGCACTTTGGGGACTTTGCCAGATTTACGAACTCAAACTTCGGGAAACCGTGAGATTGGGATGTAGTCATGCCCCGGCACGTGAATTGGCCGGGGCATAGAGTTGTACCCTTGGCGTTGTCTTGCGTCGCTGGCATTTCGTTCAGCATTCAGTGCCGGTCAGTGGATTCTTGAAGAACGGTTTTGCACACATTTTCAACGTTCAAAGTGGACGATGATAGGCATGGAGAAAAACAGGTCCAAGGTGTCGAATGTGGTAGGGTCGATTATGTGACAGAGTTTTATTGCCCGTGTGACGTGAA